TGCTAAAGTTGTATGATGAAAACAATGTTGTTATTATGTTGATCATGTTGATATGGATGTTGTGTTTGTATGATACTTTCATTTCACAAGCTTACCTTATGTGTTTGTTTATTTTTTTGTGGTAATAATTGTTAATTATGATCATACATTAATATGATAGCAGATCAAGATTAACATGATTTTTTAGATGATTTGGTGGTCATTCATACTGGTTGTGACCCATTTTGTTATGGTTACTCAGAAGTAGTCAAATCTTATATAGTCATTTGATCGATGAATAAGTTTATTTTACATATAATTATATAATAATGTGGATTATATATGTGTACATGACATGTATACATTTGTAAGAATAGATATATACCATGTATAATTATTTTTTACCACATACATATATAATTTTTATGATTATCTATATGACTGTTACATGATAATCCTATATAAATTATTGTCTACTTTACTTATTGGATTGTTACAAAATTAGTGTATTTGAATTAAAATAACAAATGTCTTACAAATAATTTTAGTGAAATATCTTAGTGGAACAATTTTATGCTGTCGAAAGTGGATTTTTTTTTTCTTTTTCTTTTTATACTTCAGTAACTTTATGCAAAGTCATTATATTGCTGTACTTTGTATCCAGTATCAAAATTTTCACACATTTCATGGGGACATCTATGGGAGGTTGAAAATTACTAATGCCTATTGTTTGCTTGGAAGTATTCTTTTGGCACACCGCATAGACGGGCCACTTGTTTCGAGAATACTCGTAATAAATATTTGTGTAAGCATACACATATACCATCATATATACAATTGTTTTCACGTCATCGATCACTCAACTCAACATTTATGTTATGTTACCCTTTCAGATACAAAAATACTAAATTAGGGAGATTTTCCCATTGCCCACCTCTACATGTTACTACTTTCCACCAGCTAATTTTGACCATACATCAACATCGACTATTCCAACCGACTTCCCTTTTAATTCTTTAATTTTCTTTAAAGTGAGGTTCTTATATGAATTTTTAAAATAATTAACTTTTATTATTAGAGTATAGTAACTTGTTAAAACTGATTTCTATATAAGAACTCGCAATAATCAGATTTTTGTAACAAAAAATAGAAGATAATGAGTTTATTATTATTTTTTGTTGTTGTGAATAAATGAATTTATTATGAAATTCTGAATTAAGAACTTAAGTTAGATTTTTTTTATTGGAGATAAAATAAAAAAAATCTTAAATTACACATAACATTAAGGGACTCATAAAAATTGCATTAAGAACTCAAAATAAATTATACTATTATAAATGCTCAAAAAAATAGATTAGATCAAGTTGTTTGTTTTAAGATTAGGTTAAAAATTTCACCTCAATTCCATTCGCAGTGGGTTAGTCCATCAATTTTCTTCAATTCTTCTACATTTGCACGCGTTTACCAGGACACTACCCTAAATCGGGGATTTGGGCCCAAAGCCCAAGACCAGTAAAACTTACTTTGGGAAAGCCATGTGCATGTTTTTTTTTTTTTTTTAAAGATAGGAAAGATTACAAAGATGATCGCAATTAAGATTGAACTTAGATCCTCATGCTTCTAACCAGTGACAGATCCAGAAATTTTAGATAGTGGGAGAAATATTTATTTATATATTTATAGTATTAAAAATTTTACATATAACTTTTAAAAGTATAAATATATATTATAATTATTTTTTACAAATTTTTATATCTATGATTACGATTAAGGATGAAAATAAATTAGGTCAGATTATGTTATATTATAATTTAGTAGGTTTGAACGTAACTTTTTTTTAATAAAAAATACATATATTAAATATGACTTATTTATCTATCATAGACATTTTTTAAATATTTAGTTAGAACTACAATCCTAAAAATATACTTTATAATAATTTAATACTAATAAAAACATAAAAATAAATTTTTTAAATTGTATAAAAATCAAGTTTAATTTATTTATGATATAAACATATTTTTATATCTAATATAATTTTTTGGATGATAATTTATTTCAAAACATATTTTATAATAAAAATTCTTAATAGAATATAAATCTTCCCATTTCCTATTTTGAATTTTGTAATCAATGTATATAATCTTACAATCTTTGCTATTTTAACTTTTTTTAATTAATATATACATAAATAGAAAGTACAAAAGGTAAACATACATGTTGAAAATTTTATTATATCAAAAATTAAACTTTTTCAAAAAAATTAATTCGTTATTAAGGAGTATTCTTTATCACATATAAGAATAAATCTCCTTCGAAAGTTTCATAAATATGAACAACTCTTTTAAATTTATATTTTATACATATGATAATTTAAATATATATATTTACTTTATTAGAATATAATATTTATTTTTAAAAATATATTATTTTTTTATAAAAAAGTATATGTGTAAAATGATAGTGGGACAAGTGCCCCCACTCTCTTATACATAGATTTATCACTACTTCTAACTACCTCAACCCCTCCCCACTAACCACTAACCCTAGTAGCAGCCATGTGCATGATCGGAGCAGCAAATAAACTTTTAAACATTGCATGAGAAGAAAATAAAAATAAATTAACTATATATATATATATTGGTTTTATTTTCTGAAGTTTTAATTCATTTTATATCATTATATCTCTCTCACATATATTACTCGTTTTATATTCTCCCACTAGTGAAAAAAATTGTTTTCCCATATTATTATTAAGCAGTGTGCCACATAAATATTTGAAAAAAGAGAGAAAATAATACAACAATGAACCAGAATAGGTTGTCTATTAATATTGAGTGGCGCACTTTACCTTAGATAGTTGCAGAAATATTATTATGAGCAAGGCAAGCTTAGGCATTTATTTAGTAACAGCGCATGGTAGTATGATATTTTGATCCATGAATTGAATTTTAATCAATAGTACAATAGTAGTAGGCCCATTCCAGCCAGGTAGCAAGCTAGCAATGAATGACAATGATTGAAGGGCCAATTATATTATATGGATCAAACACACTTCAACCTAAGTCTTTCAACATGCATATATATAATATCTCTCATGATTCCTTTTCTAGCCTTTTTCCAACCACGTGTTTTCTAGTGCCTTCCTTGCAAGTTTCTTTTATATTTTTATTTTGAGATTTCAATTATTGCTTCCTCCCTTCTCTTTTCTTTTCTCGAGTCCTTGGGTGGTCATGGAATTTGATAAACAAATGTTATTTATTTTAGATTATTGACTAGAAAACAAGCCAGATTGAATTTGAAACGTGTTTTATTTTATTTTCCCTGTGGGCGTCATAGTTATCTAATGATGCCACTAGCTTTTTATCACACATGTTAACAAAGCTGCGCGTTTAATTATCACATTAATTGAAGGTATTAATTGTTGGAGCTTTTTCTCAAAATAAAGCAAAAAAAATATAAACAAAAATTCAACGTTTCTATTCTGACTTAATCTTAAATGTAGCATGTTGAATAGACAACTTTATATCGACATTAAATACTCGTCTTACTTTTTTTTTTTTTACAGTAAATAATCGTTTTACTTAAAAAAAAAAAAACGAACACGATATAGACGTCAGTGTTATTGTATAATGACATGTATAAAGATGGTGAGAGACTGTTTCTTTTCCACACGAATTTGAAAGTATCGGAGGACACGTGTTAAAAATGTAAAAAATATATAAATAAATAATTAACAAGTATGTACTATTTATTATTTAAAATATTTTTTATAACATAATTAACATAGTAAATAATGTATATCTAATATTCTTTAATTACTGACCATGAATATAAATTAAAAAAAAACTGTATATCATCATTAACTAAAAAAGGAAGGAAAAAAAAAAACAAATTTGGTAACTTACTCTTCTTGTTAATGTCAATAGAACTGGTTACTTTATTATCGTGAACAGAATCTTAAAGAGACGGCAAAGAAACTTTTGGAAAATTTAAAAATAAAGAACATGACAGTGTAAGTGTACATTAGATAAAGGATATGATTGGGAGATGCTAATCTATCTATATATATATATAAATTGGTAGCAACAATATCCTCCACAATTTATAGACACTATTGCACATTCACATTCAGCACAAAATATCAATTAATCTAACCATTATATGAATCATGAATGTGTTTTTCTATGCAATGTATTTGCCTTATTGTCATATATTAGTGTACGTATATGTCACAAAGAATATTGAAATGTTTTATCCACATGATAAACATATTATTTAAGTATACAAAATAGGTTATGCATCGATGTAAAAAAATATTTAAACATCATTCAATCAGAAATTGTTGTATACTTGTGTATAATAAATTTAGTTTTATAAAAATTACTCAAAAGTTAAATATATTATAACTTGTGATTAGTAGAGGATGTAAGATAATTTTATATTTTTGGTGCACAATGTTAATCTTATTTAAGCACGCCATTAGATTCAACTTTTAAGTTTATATATGTAAAAAAAAAATTGTTGATAAAAGTTAATTTTTTAAATAATATTGATATCTCGCAAAATTAATCTATAAATATCAACTATATATCTATAATTTTTAAAAAATAATTTAAATATATTTCTAATCTCCTTAATATTATGTTCTTAGTCTTTATAAAATGTTCTTATAAAATTTTATTTTGTGATTTTAGTTTATTATGATATATTGTTAATGTTTATAATTTTATTATAAAATATTTATTTTAGTCTTCATTATTTAAAAAATCACCATATTTTTTATTTTTTTTACCGTATCATCAGTCAAAATAGAGAAGAATTGAAGTCATAAAATTAAATTTTGTGAAGACTGAAATTATAAAAATAAATAAAATTATAAAAGCGATATATTAGATGATTGACTAGAAACATATTAAAGGGAAGAAATTGAAATGTTTTATTTATATTCTCAAAATAAGAATGTGGGACCCGCATAAATCGGCCACAAAGTCTGAAAAGTCAACAACAGTTTCATCTTCAAAGCTGCTTCTTTCTTCAATCCTCACTCCTCAGTTCGTCAATGGTGACTGCTCTCTTTGTCAACCAATCACAAAATTTAGAATTTTCAATGCCTCGATCCTCCAATAAAGTTATGGTTTTTTCCTTAAAAAATAAACACCAGTACTAATAGTATATACTATACTGTGTCTTCATCATATATATACACTTAGAGAGAGAGAGAGAGATTCTAACCAGAAAGTTTCTTCCTTTCAATACCTAGTTAGACTCTGTGTCAGAGAACCCCATAATCATGAAGAAAGGAAACTTGGGGCCTGGTCTCAAACTCTCAGTTCCTGTGTCTGATCAATCTAATTTTGCCAAGTTCCTGTGAGTCTCAATCTCTGTGTGTGTGTGTGTGTGTTGTGTGTGAATGTGATTGATTGTGTTTGGCTTTTGACCAAATAGAATTGTTGGTTGTAGGACTGAAAGTGGGACTTTTAAGGATGGGGATCTGCTTGTCAACAGGGATGGAGTGAGAATTGTCACTGAGAATGATGTCGAAGCTGTAACATATTTCTCTCACCTTTTCTTTTTCTTAAAGATCGTATTTTTTGTGCATTCTTGCCTTTGCAATTGTTTATTTCAATTTATATCCAGTCCGGTTGCTCAATTGTTTCTTTTGTTGCATTTGATCTTTAGGATCTGGTGACAAGGGATTCCTGAATTTTCTGTAGATTCCTTATTCCTAGGTTTCCAAACCATAGTGGAGTATTATATGTTTTAAAATGACACAAAAATTTATTAGATGGCTCTTTGCTGGTTTCCCTTGTCCCTTATTTTCTTGGTAAAATGAAAAGGAATAATTGGGGGGAGAGGATGATCGAGCCTGCTTTTACTTTTCCTAGCCTTTGCTATTGTTTTTTAATTGAGCCGGATTTTGTTAACGAGGTTATAGATTTCTCATCTTATTTGCCTTGTGTTTTTAATCAAATGGAGAACAAGTTGCAAGTTTATGAAATGAAATTGTGCACAGCATGGTCATCCACTTCATGAGCCACTAAACAAATTGAGTCTTTTAAGTTCAATTTTACTCTTGAAACAGAGTTTGTTGCATAAAATTGTTTGCATTCTGAGTTAATGTTGGATCCTCTTCTTCCTTCCTACATCTTACTTTTTATTTTTTTGGTGGGGAGTGGGGACTGAGGGAGGCTGCTAAGAAATACCTTTTTGTTTCAACACTTTCATCAATTTCTGATGTATTGCAACGTCAATCATGAAAACAAATATCATTCTGACTAGTTATATTGGTTATGGTTTATGGTATAAAAAGAGCAGGACTAGGGAGGCTTGAACTCCGTGCATTTTTTTAATTCGGTCCAAGTACACAATACACATGCGGGATGAATTCTGACAATTGTTGTATATAGCTTCAACGTTCATGTTATGTTTTCAGCCACCTCCAATCAAGCCTTCAGACGACCAGTTAAGTTTGGCAGACATAGATGTGATCAAAGTTGTTGGAAAGGGAAATGGAGGGGTAGTCCAATTGGTGCAACACAAATGGACAAGTCAGTTTTTCGCATTGAAGGTACACTTGCTGCATGTTGCATACCATGCTTTGAATTTCTATATTATGTTCTGTCTTTTCTAGTTAATTTATCTTTTTGTGTTGGCTTTGTCTACCTATCTTACATACTTTTTTGATAAAGTCATGCCACTCTCCCTTACATCTTTTTCATTGAACAAGGATGTTTCAAAACATATTTTCTCTGGTACAAATTCAGTGTCCCTCAAAGGTTCTGTACGTTTCAGAAAATGTTATTTCTTTCAATTAGTGTTTAATGATTTAATTTCATTCGGAGCAGTTCATTCTCAATCAAATAGTAATTCAGTTAATTGTTATTTTGTTGCTGGTGGTTTCTTTCTTTATTGTGTCAAAACATAATGTTTTTGTTCAGCCAACTTTGGACCTTTGAATTATGTTTATCATACTGATTGAAATGTGGGCCTCTTCCCTAGGAATTTGTATATATTAATCAATCTTTGAACAAGACAAATTTAATCTTGTGTTTAACATCTGGACTAAGGTCTTCAATCCCCCCTACCCCTTCATTATTGAAAATGTCTTTGTTCATTCCTTTTGTTTATTTTTCCTACTTGGTTTTGATAATGGAGGCGCAATGATGAAGTAACATCTCTCATATAGGTTTCCCTCCTACTTTTACAGTGTTTGGTCAGAGGAAAAATGAAAGGGAGAGGAGAGGGGAGGAATTTTTATAAACTTTTTGGTTCAACTTTAAGGAGGGGGGAAGAGCAAATCCCATCTTCATCTAATTTTAGCTCCCCTTCAATATTGAGAGATTTGGAGGAAGGAGAGGGGATTTAAAACATTATTAATATAATGTCTAAAATATCCCCACTTATGTTTTTAAATTCAAAAGTTTAAGGATACAAAGGAAAATTAGTTTTCAAAATCTCTCTCCTTCCTCTGGGAACCAAACAAGAAAAGAACTACCTCTTCTCTCTTCCATTAAAATCTCTCCCCTCCTTTGAACCAAAAAACATACCCTTAGTAATTTTAAATTTCATTTGTTTCTTTGTATGCCTTCTTTTTTTAACAATCTAGTATTGTAGTCTATTAGTTTGAAAGTCTGTCTCTTTATCACGATATTCCTAATATATGCACTTGAACTAATAAACTAATTTTTCCCTTGTTCTGATATATTCACAAGTCACAACCTTAATGTTATCATTTAAATCTATTATCTTTTTTCTTTTGTCACTTATGTATGCATTCTTCACAATTCAGGTAATTCAAATGAATATTGAGGAGTCCATGCGCAAGCAGATTGCACAAGAGCTGAAAATTAATCAACAAGCACAATGTCCATATGTTGTTGTCTGCTACCAATCATTCTATGAAAACGGTGTCATATCAATCATCTTAGAATACATGGATGGAGGTTCCTTAGCTGATCTTCTGAAGAAAGTTAAAACAATTCCAGAGCCTTTTCTTGCTGCCATCTGTAAACAGGTAAGGAGTAATGGATTTTCCTCCTGTCTTGTTCCTATCATTCCTTTTACCGAGTCCCAAAACAAGATCTGATCCCTTTTTTCTTTTTTAACGTTGTAGGTGCTGAAGGGTTTAATCTATCTTCACCATGAAAAGCACATTATCCACAGAGACTTAAAACCTTCTAATTTGTTGATAAATCACATAGGTGAAGTAAAGATTACTGACTTTGGTGTGAGTGCAATTATGGAAAGTACATCTGGTCAAGCAAATACTTTCATTGGCACATACAACTATATGTCTGTGAGTAATGTGTGCAAGTATATTTATCTTTTTTAGCACCAAAGTTTACCACTATTGCCTAGAATATAACATTCACTCTGCCAATTTTACAGCCAGAGAGAATCAACGGAAGCCAGCGAGGCTACAACTACAAAAGTGATATATGGAGTCTGGGACTAATACTGCTCGAGTGTGCGTTGGGGCGGTTTCCATATACACCGCCTGATCAAAGTGATAGATGGGAGAGCATTTTTGAGCTTATTGAAACCATTGTCGATAAACCTCCTCCTAGTCCTCCATCGGAACAATTTTCTCCAGAATTTTGCACATTTATCTCAGCATGGTAATTGTTAAAAAAGATACTAGTTGTGTGCAGTCAAGAATCTTAATCCACCATAAGAAAATGGAAACACACAATACACACACCTACAAGCACGAAATGCTATTTTCTTTCTTTTTGAATGTATCTTTCATAATTTCATTGAACAAAACCTCCATGTTTAGACATATAAAACTAAGTACCTTCCATCACTATTCTGTTGGCTATTTTGCCATGCTATAAATTCTATTTCACTGTATGCTTTTTATGTGTCTTCTGATCTTACTTTTTCAATCTTCTCTTGGTTTAGTCTACAGAAAGATCCAAAGGATCGATTGTCAGCTCAGGAGTTAATGGTATGTGTAAATCTTGTTTATGTACACATACCATTTACATTATTGTCTTTCTGATGCCTATATATTTTATTGAAACTCCAGGGAGATCCTTTTATCAACAAGTACGATGACTCTGCGGTGGATCTTTCATCTTACTTCTCCAATGCAGGATCTCCTCTTGCAACCTTATAAAAGTTTGTATGTTCGAATCTTGAACTCTGATAAATTTAAGTAAAACGTTATTCTTTTTGTTCTGTATTTTCGAATCTATCAGGTGTTCTTGAATGTAGATCACTATATGAATATAATGCATTGATTTGTCATAAGCAGAAGTAATTTTTCTTCTATTTTGAGGATGTTGTTTGTTGTTCTGTAAATGATACTAATGATAATGATTTGAAGCTCACTTTTTTTTTTCAATTGATACGATCCTTTGTGATGAAAGCTTATCCTAGGTTGCTTAGGAGACTTAAAATCAGATATTATTTCCTAAATTACGAATTATAGGATGTGTTCTCATGCAACCATCCAGTCTCAGATATTAATATCTCTGGATGATGAGTACTTTTCTTTCTCTCTCTCTCTCTCTTTTCTCTAAACAGTTGGAGTTATTTGTGACTGCAGCTTAATTCTTCTTCTATTGTAGAGCACTGCTTGCATATGACGAGCGTTTGGAGATGAGTTGAAGAACCAGATCCTAGAGTTACACCAAAGATTCTGTATTTAGTTGTTGAGTGATTTTTGAGTTCAAGAATTTGTTGAGAAACTCAGATGCAAGGGTCAAGGAATTGCAATAGTTGGCATTTAAAGAATTTTAATGGTGAAAATTGAGTATCTGGGGCTACTTGCAACAAAATGTTTGAAATTTTATTATTGCAAAAAATGTATCACCAGGATTTTCTTAAATTGCTGATAATATCATCTGACGTACAGTTTTTTATCAGGTAATGTTTAGTGAGGCTGCCCCAAATAAACGTAAAAATTTATGCGAGTCACGCTAGTTGAACAGTCCCAAATCATGTAATACTTTTTTTTCGATTAAAGCTTGTCAAATTGCCTTATTGATTTTGGGGTTCTTATTGCTTGCATTGCACATTACTAATAATAAAATTAGGGATGACAATGAGATTTCATGAGAGTGGGTAATAGGATACTTGTACTCCTGTTAGATAAAAATCTGTCCTGTACTCATCTTATACTTGTGTGGGTTTCCATTTAATAAGTACCCGTAAATTTTATAAATGCTTATGGGTATCCATTAATATTTGTGAATTATTTTAAAAATTAAAAAATATTATAAATAATATAAAAATAAGATAAACATATGAATATTTAAGTAATATTATTTAGTGGATATTCGTAAGTATGAATATTATCATATATGTCCCTGTCTCGATTATAAATGAATAAAAAAAATACATGTATTCATTATTTGCGAATATTCATTTAAACTATCTATTTATTATCCGTGACGAATTTTATCTACAAATACATGCAAATACGAGTATTTTTGTCATTTCTAAATAAAATATAAGATTGGCTCCAAGGTCCCATTTAAGAGATTATGTGCTGATCATTTGTGCAGCTAACTCAAAATATTGGGTCATAAACTTTATAGAAAAAAAAGAAAAAAAACTTTAAGCTTGGAAAGCTCTCACAAAGGTATCCTTGTACAGTGCGAATTTTAGCATATATAACTTAGCCCTGGCGAAAAACTGACGGACTAAAAAGTGCCAATGATTCTAAAATACAATAAATCAATAGCTTAAATGAAGACATTCCAGATGCAAAAAACATCACTTCATGCCTTTCTCTTAATCTTTCTTTGAGGCTTTAAGTCTATCACAATTACAGAGATGTTATCTTGGCTTCCCCTGTGGATGGCAAGTTTAGTTAGATACTCAGCAGCAGACTGAGATGCAGGATCAGCTCCTTCACTGTGTTCTGTAGCTCCGTTTTCACCATACTTCTTGTGCCAAAGAAGGATTCGTTTCTTTGCAACCTCGCAGGCTTCTTCATTTGTCATTACATCCCACAAACCATCACTTGCTAGAATAAGACACTCATCGTTTTTCTCTCGGCGTACAATACTCACTTCAGGATCTGGAATTATCCATGGTTTCAGGTATCTATCACCTGTTGAGCAAGAAGAAAAATTAGACAACAAAGATCATTTGAATAAGAATTTATATAGCAAAAAAAAATTGTAGAATGAAATCACATTGAAGTGTACTAAAGTCACTTTCTGCTCCAAAGGTTTGTTGAAGGAAGTGGATTAAGGTCCTTAAAGATAAGAAATTATTACATAGTTCATGAGAATGGCAAATGCCCGGATTGGTATTTAAGGGGACCAAGACAAAAATTCTCTCATTTTTTCTCTAACAGGAGTGCCATAAAATACTGTTACATAAAAAATTTGCAGGAAAACTTTCGGGGGTGATCGGGGCTCCGCTGCAGGTCCAAGACCATCACGCTTCCAACCAATCTTCACTTGACACGTAATTGAGTTTTATTAATTCTTTGTTGTAAATTAAATATCTTAGTTATATGTCACGTAAAAATTAATTGGGATCATGAATGCTTGGTAATCTTGATCTTATACCATGTAATAATTTCTACTTTCAACATGGAGTAAAAGAAACTTGCTACAATGTACCAATAAAAGGACACTTACTGCAAAAATAAGTTACTTTTAAACTTCAAAAATTAAAACAAAACGCATTAATGACATGCATAAAACAATGTTTGTCCTCACGTCCAACTTCAGCATGACTCATGATAAATAATATTGCTGTAGAGATGAATAGCTGGAAAAATAATGGCTATACCGTTTGATTAACTTAAACAAACACCAAACTGTTTGCAGTAACATGCAACCACATAATATAACGTTGCAACTTGCAAGAAAACCAATCAGTTCTGGAGATCATGCAACAGACACATACCTATGGACCTTGACATTGCCAAGACACCAAGAACTCTGTATCCTTTCCAATGTATGACTCTTCCTCCTGCAGCTTCTATCCTTGCCCGCTCGTCCTCTCTATTTGGCTGCAAAACAGGAAGTGATATTTCCTCCATCAGACAACTTCAACTTCTATTAGAAATTCAATAAAAATACTATGAAACTAGAATGAAATTCCTTACTTTGTGGTCAGAAGACAACGGCATGGCTTCTTTTCCACGGTATAAGACAGTTCTTGAGTCCCCACAATTTGCAACTATTATGTGGGTTTGACTTAAAATGGTTACCACTGCAGTGGAGCCAGCAGTCTCGGGAGCAACAGGTTCAATATTAGACTCAGATCCACCACTGTTGTTTCCACTATTTCTTGCACCAATTCCTCCAACCTCGTTATCTACTTTCTGAAAACAATTGATGAATGCTTTCTTCCAACGGTCTTGCCAATCTCTCGCATTTGTTTCCACCAAACTTGATTGTGCAGCCTCTATCTCCTCAATCAATACCGAATGAAGATGCTCCTGGCAGTAATTAGCAACCTGTGAAAACAACACCCCATCAGTGAAACATTAATTTCAACAATATACATTTTGTATAATTTAGAGTATTGTTTTTGAGACATACCTGAAGGCCCCCATGTCCATCATAGACACCAAAAAAGTGGGCTAGTGAATGTTTATCATTCTCATTCACATGATCATTCATTAGCATCTGTGAAGGAACTTGAAAAAGTTGAGGCCTAACAGAAATAGCATCTTCCATCTCTTGTCTCATTCCACAAATTGATGAGCAACCCCAGAGAGGGCCACTATTCAAATCCAAAGCATTCTGGTTGCTTGTTCTCATTGTTTTATTCTCCCTTGGCAACTGATCAAGAGGCATAGCAGATGGTTTAGGATCCGACTCATCTGATCCACATTGATCCTCACTAGTAATATCCATTGCAACAGAAACTGTGTTCTCCACCGGCTTCATTGATGGACATGCCTCCTTTATCCCAGACTTGCCATGAATATCAACATCATCAACCTTGATGATGATTGGTGAATCTATTTCAGAATAACTAGTCTTCAACAACACAGCTTCCTCCCTACAAGGAGCACTTTTGCCATTAGCCACAGGTTGAGAGCTTGAATTACGAAGACACTGAAAATCCACTGCTAACATTATTTCATCTTCCTTTCTAGCCATATTATGGCTTTCATTCAAGACCCAATTACTCTCACATTCGATAACCATTTCTGAGACAAGGGAAGTTCCAACTTGATTCTCCTTTACCTCCGCAGATACTGTAATCTGATGCTGCAGACTAATATCTGCATGGTTTTCACTTCCAACAGAACATGATTGACAACACTCCACCGCAGGATTCAACATCAAAGTTGCTGCTGCGGTATTTGCCATAAGCTTCAGCCCAGTTATCTCCATGTGAGTAGTCACTGCAGACTCCTTTTGAATCAAATTTCCAACACCAAGTGTAAAAGGCACTGCAACACTCGAAGATATTTCCTCCATTGGTTTACTTTGCCTTGTAGCAATAGCCTTCTTGTCCTCCAGTATCCTACAAGCAGCTATCCCTTTCAACCACTTTTTCCACCCTTTTCCCTAAAGCCTCCTTTCTATGATATAATTTCAATCAGCATCAAAACCCCAAGAAGGCTCCTACGGCAAGAAATTTAAGGAGTTCAGAACCAAACTCCTAAGAAATTAAACCAGTAAAAAATACAGTGTAACAAATTAAATTCAAAGGTTACTATTCTCTCTTAGGGCATCAAAGACTAAAACAAACAGCCCACAAGATCCTTTCTGAATTCACCTGTTTTGGGCTTTTTATCAACCAGGACTTTCTGTATTCCACCTTATGATCCCTGGAAAACCAGACAAGAGATTATTGACGAAACCAGCAGCAAATAATTGACAAGGTAAATGGCTTGTCTCTCTCTGGCAAACAGAGACAAGGGAAATGGGGTCATTGAAAATGAAAAAATAGCAAGGAAATAGTACACATATGAGAAGAGGGTTTCCTAGATCTGAGGCAAGTCACACCAGCCACTGAAATTTCCTTGCCCTGGTTTTACCTCTTCTGTTCCTTTCATGTGTCAACAACAAGAAGCCTTCACCACCCTCAAAATGAATAATCATATCAAAAGAAAGGCAAATAATTTTGGTCATGTCAACTCATACCCACTTTCTGCTTTCACCACCATCTATGCCTAGATTCCTCCTCTAAAGTGCAATCAGTTAATTTAATCTCTACAAGTAATGAAAGGACATAACATGAATTCAACAATCTGAGTTGTGATTTATTTACCTTCACAGAATGAAAACAGTGCATGGAAAAAATGAGGGAAGGGGATGAAAGAAGGAACAGAAACCTCAACAAAACTATATGCAGTACGAACACAGATGAATTTTTATTTTTGACAAATAAAAAAATGAGCAGTCTCAGCTTTTGAAAATATAAATAATTACGCAACAGATGACTATGTTTTTCTTAAAAAAGAAATATTTAACTTTCATTTTCTTTACCAACAAAAAGTAAATGTATTATTAGCAGGCTTTCCATTTCTTGACCTGCAGGATCGACACATAGCACTTTCTTTTTCTAAAATAATGATTATATATATTTAATGGTTGGGTTGAGTTTTGATACATGGTTTCCTAAGGAAAGGAACTATTTGTTTATGTAGCAATACAAGATTAAGACGTGGAAGTCATTCTAATCTCACTCTCTCTCATCCATTATGGACTTTACTATCTTTTCCAAATGTGCTCTTTATTTATTTATTTATGATGAAAGATGCAACGTTGAACCATCCACATTTCCACAACATTATCATGTACTATTGTTTTCTAATGAGGAAAACCTCGCACAGAAATAAAGAGGGCCAGTACGAGGAAGCCACGTGGGCGTGAGAATCGAGATGGGGGTTCGAATACCCAAGTTCCAGGGGGGATGTACAATGTACGAAAGTAACATAATAATACCAAACCAATATGTCTTTATACATTATTATTATTATATAATAAAAATATAACAGTTTTGATATTCTTTGAGATTTTCAATTTAAAAAATCAAAATAAATAATAGTTAATAATTAATTTCTTTTTGTCTTTGAATAAATTTTATTTGATTTTAGTTTTTATAGCAATAAAATCTTGATAATTAGTATGTATGATAGTTGTATTAAATATGAATATAATTAATTATTTAATGTTGGATTGATAATGCAAATGGAGGAATGAAAGAGGAATAGGAAGATGCATGAACTGAATGGACAGAGGCGTGAGAGTTGACGCGTAGAACATGAGCAATACAAGTCCAAAAAAGATATGTTATGTTATGTTATGCTGAGAGAAGGAGAGAGAGAGAGATTGATTCTGTTGAATAAGAATTGCATATAGTTTTGTGCCGAAAGCCATGACAGACAACACAACACCTTCCCTTTGTCTCCACGTGTTCTCCATCTTCGCTGCTGACCAACCGACCATATCATTTTCATTTCCATCTTTCTCTATCTTATGTCTGTGCATACACTACGTATTTTAACCAAAAAGGAAAACTAACTATAAATTTTAGCCTAAAAATCTATTTTCATCCTTATAATAATTATTTATTTTAATTTAGTCTCACTTTTATTTTTGTCTCAATTTGGTCTCTAATAAATTAATTGGTTGCAATGTCGGACTTCTGTCCAAATTATTTAAACGGAGTTAATTGTTGGTCACGTGGATGCCACGTAGATGCATAAGTAGATGTCACGTGGATGTGACATGGATGCCAAATTTCTTAAATACACCTGGAACCAGAACGGCCTGTTCTGAACCCAGAACGGATCGTTCTGAGTGCACTCTTGGTATGTTAATTTTTCCATATGAAACGGACCGTTTTAGATGCAAAATTAACACACCACGAGTACATCAGAACTGCTCGTTCTGAAACCAGAACGGCCCGTTCTAGAACGCCAACTTGTTAAGTAGGAGCAATAGAATATTCTATATTATTTTTATTAAAAAATATAATAATTTTGAAAAATATTTTTTTACGGTAAAAATTTTAAAATTACTTATTTTTATAAAATACAATTGTCTTATAAATAGAGTGATAACTTTTCCTTTTTCTCTTTCTGTCTGAAGAAATATTTAAGTGTCACTTTATAATTTTTTGCAACTTATTTAAAATTAGAGGAATAAAATGATAAAAATTAATAGGATAAACATAATAAAATTATTAATTTATTTTCTTTTAGTGTCCTCTAAATTTTTACACTCATTTAAAACAAAAATATTTTATATGTTATTTTGAATTAATTTAACGAAGTATCATATGATTTTTAATTTTTTAAAAATTTTTATAAATTTGATCTATACATGAAAAGCTTTTTAATTTAACAATTAAATTTTTAAAAATTTGATATAGAACATTAATTATTAAGTAGAATAAATCTATCAAGACTTACTCTTGAAGTAAGTAAATTTTTTCTTCATTAAAAATGAAGATAATTTTACCACAAAATAAAAAACAATTAAACAATAAAATAAAATATAAAAAAATATTAATGTATTTATTATATTAGATATAACAAGATAATTAAAATATAATTAATAATATATATTTTATAAAATTATTAATATTTTATATATAAAAAAAAAAAGAATGAAAAAATTTTTAGTGAGGGCAAGTGCCCCCACTATGATTAACTTAGATCCATCCCTGCATGTGGTTGTGTGGTGAAATGTTAGTCCTATGTATCCTTTTCCTTTACTTCAGGTTGTACCTCCTCAAGAACATGTTGTTATCGGGATACATCGTTAATGACTTCAAAAAAAAATACCATGTCATTTCATCATTTACTGTATAGTGTCAATTTGGTAGTAAGTGGTTCACTCCAGTTTGACTAACAATGAAATAAAATCTGCTACCATTGTCTTTAGTGATACACTGCATTGTCCTTAATGATATACTATACAGTCCAACTGTTTAGCAATTGAAGTTATCGATTTCCATTGACAATATTACCAAATCCAATGTTTGAAATGCTTTGTACCTTGGGTTTTTTTCCTTCCACGATCCCAACCGTGAACTATAATTGTTGACCGTTTGTGTTTGGCATTCTGGAACCAGAACGGCCCGTTCTGAAATCAGAATGGTCCGTTCTGGTTGCACTCTTAGTGTGTTAATTTTGTACCTAGAACAGGCCGTTCCGGATGCAAAATTAACACACCAAGAGTGCACCCAGAACGGCCCGTTCTGGTTTCAGAATGGACCGTTCTGGTTCTAGGTGTTTTCAAGAAATTTGGCATCCACATGGCATCCACCTATGCATCTACATGACATTCATGTGGCCAACAGTTAACTCCGTTTAAATAATTTGGACGGAAGTCCGACATTGCAATCAACCAATTTATTAGGGACCAAATTGAGATAAAAAATAAAAGTAGGACTAAATTGAAACAAACAATTATTATAAGGGACTAAAATAGGTTTTTAGCATAAATTTTATCATCCATTGCCTTCCTTTTCAATTTTTATTATATAACACTCCCTCACTTTTTTACTAATACAAAATATTAAAAGTATCTTAATGCAACGAGACTCAGATGAAAGAAGGTCAACTATAAAAATTAAAATTCATCTAACAAATATATACAAATATCAAATTTTATGAATATTTTATATATTTTTTAATTAATGAAATGAAATATTAAATAATTTTATATATTTTTTAAACTTTGTAGACTAAGAACTTTTGATTCTATAATAACTCGACGCAATCCTTACACGTAAGAAACACATATAAAAAACATATACCTAATATAATTTATCATCATTTACTAGATAATGTACTAAAAGTCATATATAAATGTACACAACTATATAAGTATAAAAAATATAATTACATTCATTCAGTAAAAGTAAATATATACATAGTATATTCATCCAGTCAATCACAACTATACATAAGCAACTATACATAACCCGGGCCGGTGTGCCAGCGAGGGCGCTGGACTCCCTTGAGGGGGGTGGATATAGTCCCACATCGGTTAGGAAGGCGAACGAAGCATGCCATATATATGGGTGTGGATACCTTCCTTGTGTGGACGCGTTTTGGGGTGGCATGCGTGCCATTGCCAGAAACAAATCCGTGAGGCCGTGGGCCAAAGCGGACAATATCCACATGCGGGTTGTTTGGGCTGTTACAACCAATGGAAAGCATCTCAAACCTAGTCTTATCTTGCTTCCATAGAAAGTATGATCATCACAATATAACACAAATTAATAAGGATAAGCTAGATATAAAAGATTCAACATACAATAATATAAAATGAAGTAAAACAACTCACATTATTACATTTCATATTCATTCAACACCCAACAATCTAAGCTCAATATCAACATCATCATCATCATGAAATATCAATGTAACACAACATAACTATCAACTAATGTATCATCCCGTATTTCAACTAATGGAGATCTCCTACATCTTAGGGGAGTTTAAACAACTTGATACTACAAAACCAACAATAATGACATGACCTTATAGAACTAACAACACAACATGACCTTTTTGGCTTGTTAGACCAACAATAATTTGGATGTAAATCCACAACACAAAATTTCTCGAATATTGTTACCTAAATTAGGAAATTTAGAACTACTGTCATGGTAAAATAGTTTATGTATGAGTCTACCATAACATTAACTAAAATAACAATGTCACTTATGGATTTAACCCATTGATTACCCTCCAAATACTATGTCCTTTCGACACTCAATGAAGTACTAAGTTTTCAACTTCATACTTGACTCAGGTGGTCATTTTATACATGTGCATCTCGACCTTACCCACATACGGTACCAACTCAGTCCTAAAGGAGATTCAACATAGTTATCCACTTCGAAGGTCAAATTTTCAAAAAGGGATTTTAGCAAAAGTATGGACTCTCAGAGCACCACAACACATGATCCACACAATGTGATATGCAACTTTTAAAACAACTTCTCCTATAGTCCTAGGTTGGTCATCATAGCTCAACAACACTATGCCTAAATGCCTAAAGCATTCTCAACATTCATCATTTTAGCAACACAACATCATACAAATTCCTTACACCTATACAACCAACACATAATTCACAACTCACAACATACATTGTACACCTAAACATCATCTTCACATATCAACATGTATAGTACAAACAACAATTTCATCTCAAAACATGCAATAAATCTATCTACTTGATTCATGTTCATCAACTATCATACAATAAACTACTTTAATTCCTCATCACACAACATATAGCCAATCAACTCTAAAATATGTAGTGGACCAGCACTTAAGGCGCCCTTGGACTAACTTTAAGTGCCCTGAATTTGCTTGGAGTGATCCCAAATAGAGAACATTCATTGGAGTTAATCCTCATTCTAACCGAGCATAATTCACTCATAATGCTCAAG